TCAAATTCCAAATAGGAAAAAGAAGATCAAAAGACCACTTGAGTCTCCTTTCCTTTTAAAGTGCTTTCCCAAAAGTTCCATACAACTTCTTTCACCTCATTGGCCAAAACAGTGTCACATGACCACTTCTATCTGCAAAAGAAGCTGGGGAATGTTTTTTGTTTTTGTTTTTTAGGTGTTTGATGACTTTATTTTCCATTAATTATTTATGCCCTGTCCATATAAATTCTAATATATGAAAATTATTTCTGCAGAATTTCCCAAGGTGGCCTCTGGTATGGAGGTGAGGGAGAATGACCACAAGAAACTGCAGTGCAGTCTCTCCATCAACCAGGAGCCATACACTGAAAATTAGCAACTGCTACACTACCATAAGTATGGGGGCCGATAAGGAGAAAAGCCACCAAGGGCAAAACTTCAGAGAACCTTACAGTTTTTGGAGGCTGAAAGTCCAAGATTGGCCTCTGGTGAAGATTGTTTCACAACATGGTGGATGGCATCATAGTGGGAGTGCATGTGAGAAGAAGAGATCTCATGGTAAGACAGGAAGCTGGAAAGAGGGTACAGGTATGTCTTCTTTTTATGACAACCCACTTCTGGAAGAATGAACCAGGTTTCCCCAAAAAATTATATTAATCTATTCTTAGGGTAGTGCCCCGAATGACCTTGCACTAAGCCTGATGTGGTAAGGGTTCCACCACTTCTCACATCATCTCTCCAGAGACTGAGCATCCAGTACTTGAACCTTTGGGAAACTAGTAACATACAACAGCACCAAGTAACACATTGTATATATGTTAATGGGCACCTATGGTCACAAACATTTTTATCAGCTATTTTTTTCCCAAAAAATTATTTACCAAAATAGGGAATATTCAACTTATCTGATATTTATTTTCTTATAGAAAAAAAGTTAAATAAATAGAATAACTCTAGTTTTTACGTGGTCTTTTTTTAAAAAATATTTATTTATACATCTTTGTATGTGGTGCTGAGGATCGAACCGGGGCCACACGCATGCCAGGCGAGCGCGCTACCGCTTGAGCCACATCCCCAGCCCTTTACGTGGTCTTAAAAAAGGTATTTTATGGTTTCATTTAATTTGGACTTGCCTACTTTTACTTTACCAATTTAATATGGCGATTGGAAAGCTTTAATTTTATGGGGAATGTGTCTTAAGTGAATGAGTATCTGCTTTCCCCCAACAACATAGATTTGTTTTAATAAGAACTGTAAACTACAAGGAGAAGGATTAAAAAAAAAAACAGATTTCAGGAAAGAGAAGGTGTAGCTTAGGGGTGGAAGAAGGAGAGCAATGGCTCAGTGGGCTGATGGCGGACAGCAGTTGGCAGGTGTCTGGACAGCAGCAGGCAAAAAGAGAACACGGAAGTAGCAGAAATCAGGTGCCCAACCTCGCTCTTCATTGCCAAGTGGGTCCCTCGTTCATACAATCTCAGAATATCTCCTTTCCTCACTTAAGCTGCTTAATGTGAGCCTCACTTCCTTTTGCTGCGGGCTAAGCTCAGCCTGGAAGCATGTACAACTCCATCTGTTAGAAAAGAACCCTCCGGTCTTTTACGTGCACGCCTGTGTTGTGGAAGGCTGGGACGGCGAGGTCCTGAAGCAGAGTCGGTCTACATCCCAGCGCATACAACTCTGAGAGCTCAGCGCTTGGGTTTGTTTCGGAAAGAAGCTGACAGGAAGCTCCCTGGAAGCTTCCCTATGCTGTGCTAAGGGACTCTCCTATTTGTGCGTCCTCCTGCCGCACAGTTATCTACGACACCGGAGTGTCTGGAGTCTGTCCCCAACCGAGGGCAGGCTCTGGGTGTTTGGCTTTACAACCTCAACGTCTACAAGGCCCCGGGCAATGCGAACGGCCTTGGTCACCGGTGGCGCCTTCTTCCTCCGGCAACAAAGTAGCCCAGTTCCAAAACCTTAAGTCTCTCACAGTGTTTCAGGGAGCAGGGAAGCACCGCCCTCTCGCTGGGGTAGGCCCTCCCCAGCCTCCAGGGTCACCATCCTCCTCTGCTCTGTGCTGCCGTCTACCGGTGAGCGGGAGCGCGACAGCGGCATGGTGGAAAGGAAGTGCCTGAGTTTCGAGGGCGCAGACGCGAGTGCACGCTGCCGTCCCCCCCCTCCCCCGCGCCTCCCAGCCGTTCTGCGCCTGCGCACCGACTGCCAGCTGCAAGGACCGAAGAGGCAGGTATAAACCCGCTGAAGGGATTAGGTGGCTGAGGGAGCCGCCCGGGAAGTAGCTTCCGGGGTTCGAGCCCTGCAGGTTCGGGGATGCCGGCGTTCGCTCCTCCTGGGTGACTCTGATGAGATCGAAACATCGCTTTTGCAGGGGGGCGTGACCTGAGCCCACTTCTTGGGGCTGGGAGTGGAGGAGGAAGGGGTTCGCTAAGGCCTGTTATTAATTTGGTTCACCTGTTTGTTCAGGAAGGTTTTTCTCGAGGAAGATACAGAGTCTGCAGATAGTGGAGAGTCAGGGGCGAACTGGACCAGGTGGCTGGGGCAAGTCCCAGGGCGGTGAGGAGCTGGACAGATTGGCAGAAGGCAGGCCCCATTACCCCCGCTGTATGTAAAGGGGAGAGCAGTGCTACAAAGTGAGTGTCCCGGTAGACATTGTGAGGTTGTTGGTCTCACACTCAGGATGGCAACCCCTAATTTGTGTGTGTATTCACTTTTCTTACAGAAAGAAGCAATGTCTTCTGTCGTGGCCCAGTGTGGAACTCTAACTTGCACTCACTTGCCTCTTATTTATCTAGGACATGACACGCGTGGCACATCACGGCCATGGGATCTCAGCATTCTGCCTTTGCACATGCTCCCTCCTGCAAGCGAAAGAAAGAAGATGACAGGGAGGCTTTGCTGACTGATCTAGAACAGGAAGAAGCCATTGCTCAGTTCCCATATGTGGAGTTCACAGGGAGAGATAGCATCACCTGTCTCACGTGCCAAGGAACAGGCTATATCCCAACAGGTTTGAATCTGGTGATCAGGGAAGGACTGATTCCCGGTTAAGGCAGGGGTTCTTATGTCTGCCCTAACAGCTTATCTCTGAGGCATTAGTACTTTTATAGTCCCAGAGTGCCCTGATTTGAAACCAGCTCAGCTGACTTGATACACTTGGGCAGATTCCACAACTTCTCTTGGTCTCTTTATATTTGAAACCCTTTCTTTTCTTTACTTCCATTCTTTTATCCCCATGCTCCCCGCCTCTACTGTGGTTTGGAATATTCTTCTCATTCTATGTTATGGGGTTGTTTAGTACATGTCTTATTGTTCTTGCTCATAAGATCTGGCACAGCTTTGTAGGTGGACCATCTTGGAAACTTCTTAATAAAGAAGCAGTTAGTGAATTAATAGCCCAAGGTCAGCAAAATGTATCAGGTGAGGAGAAGTAAACAAATGTTCAGAAGAGGAGCCTGGGCTACCTTCAGGATTATCTATTATTAAGTAAGCCCTCAGAGAGTCTTTTAGAGTTTAGATGGAGAGTCACAAAGAGCTTAAAAAACATTTATTCTAACCCTTCATATTAAAGGTGAGTAAACAGTGGCTCTGAGAGGTTGATGACTTTGCCAAGTTGGCCATGCATTAAAACAGAATAAGATCCCAGGTTTCTCAACTTTATGCCACTGACCTGAAAGTACTTACAGGTGTTTTGTAATTTATAATATTATTTATTAATTTATTTATTCTTGTTCATTAAACCTACCATATGAAATTAGTACTTTTTAAATATCTAATCCCAGGAAAATATTTGCTGTGGCAGGCTGTAGTGAAGTGCTAAGAAAAGTATTGCCAAGTAGGTGGGATTTACAAAATATGTGTTTCATTCTTTTCCAGAGCAAGTCAATGAATTGGTGGCTTTGATCCCACATAGTGATCAGAGATTGCGCCCTCAGAGAAC